TAACTGCCGCTGAGTCGATCTTGACCCATGGTGACCATATGAATGAGAAATCTCCAAAACCCTCTGTCCTCCACCGCTCTGCTTAATTCCTGAAACCCCTTAATACTCATGGCCTCCTTAATAGAGTCCATCCATCTGGCATGTGGCCTTCCTCTTATTCTACTTCCCTCTACCTTCCCCAGCATTATTGTCTTTTGCAAAGAGTCCTCTCTTCTCATGATGTGTCCAAAGTATGACAGCCTCAGTTTGGTCATCTTGGCTTCCAGGGAGGTTTCTGGCTTGATCTGCTCTAGGACCCATTTGCTTGTCCTTTTGGCTGTCCATGGGATTCTCAACACTCTTCTCCAGCACCACATCTCAAATGCATTGATTTTCTTCCTATCATCTTTCTTGACTGTCTATCTCTCACATCCATACATGATAATAGAGAATACAATGTCTTGTATGATTCTAACTTTTGCGCTGAATTGTATATCTTTGCATTTTAGAATCTTTTCTAGTTCTTTCATAGCTACCCTCCTCATTCTTAATCTTCTTCTGATTTTCTGACTGCAATCCCAATTTCTATCAATGTTTGATCCCAGGTATGCAAATTCTTTTACTATTTCTATTTCTTCATTGTCTAGGTTGGACTTGTCTAGTGGTCATTATTTTATTTTTCTTTATGTTCAGTATTAAGCCTGCCTTTGCACTTTCTTCTTTGATCTTCCTTAGTAGGTGTTCTAGGTCTGTGAAGTCTAGTATTATGGTGTCATCTGCATATCTTAGATTGTTGATATTCCTTCCTCTTATTTTCACTCCTCCTTCTTGTTTGTCCAAGCCTGCTTTTCTTATAATATGTTCTGCATATAGGTTGAATAGGTAGGGCGATTGGATGCAGCCCCATCTGATTCCTTTGCAAATTGAGAACCATTCTGTTTCTCCATGCTCTGTTCTGACAGTAGCCTCTTGTCCTGAATACAGATTTCTCATCAGGACTATCAGATGTGTTGGCACTCCCATGTCTTTAAGGGCATTCTAGGGGTCCTCAAACTATGGCCCGCTGGCCACATGTGGCCTGCTGAGGACATTTATCCAGCCCGCAGGGTGTTTTTGCCACCGCTGCCTGTCCTGCTTAACATCCCAGGCCCGCAGTGTGCATGTCCGGCCCACCAATGGTCTGAGGGACAATGAACTGGCCCCCTGTTTAAAAAGTTTGAGGACCCCTGGTCTATGCAATCAAAGGCTTGACAGATCTGGTCTTCATAAATTCCAGTACCAGCTGATCTCCAAAATAGAACAAAACAGCTATTTAATTCCTGAATATTCTGAGATTGTAGCACAAATATATAATCAAAATTTATTTTCCTAAAAGTGCATCTTTTCAGAGAAAAACAGAGATATGACTTTAAACAAAGATTTTCATGCAGATTTATAGAAGAATATTTGTATGTAAGTACTGAAATGGCACAGAATCAATTTCTGGGTGAAGATGAGCAAAATGACAAGTGATATTTTTTGACACAACTTTGCTATTACCTTCAGATCTGTTGCAGGTGATCCATGTTTTTTGCTACACTGACATGTAGCAATACCTGTCTCCAAATATGTTGTGGTTGTGTGCCTTCAAGTTCCTCATATATGGTGACTCTAAGATGAACCTGTCATGGGCTTTTATTGGCCAGATTTGTTCAGAGGGAGTTTGTTATTGCCTTCCTCTGAGAAAGTGTGACTTGTCCAAAGCCACCCACTGGGTTTCCATGGCTGAGTGGAGATTTGAACCCTGGTCTTTCAGAGTCCTAGTCCAACAATGAAACCACTATGCCACTCTGGCTACTCCAAGCATGACCATCAACCAAAGCTGGGAAAAGGTTATACTATGGAGTACAGCTCCCAAATTATCTAGCCAGAATTGGTGCTGACAGTCTCAGCCTGGCTTTGACAGGAGAAATTAATTCCATTTTTCCTTCTGTTCTCAGACTGATTCATGCATGTATGCCTTTCTCTCCATTCAGCCCCTCCAGTGAGGATTTCCTCCTCCTGCATTCTGCAAAATACTAATAAATACCCCTAATGGCAGAGGATATGCTTGTAATAAGATAATTGCATCGCAAGGCACACAGAAGGGGCAGCCAAAGTCCTTCCAGTTTCTCAAAGGTTAGGGATGGCTCTTGATAATCAGATGCATCACCAGTAGACTAATTGGCTTTATTGAAACAGCATATTGCCAGACAAATTGTATTTTCAAGGGACTAAATGACGGTGACATTAGAAAAGCTTCAAAACCTAATTTAGGATCATACATCCTGTATGTTTCTCTCTTCTCCCAAAAAACTGTTGCCCAGTTGTAAACATGGTCTTCATCTCACATGAAGCCAGTTAATAAGTGCAAAGCATATCTTTTTTTTTTTTTTTTATAGCAGTCACAGAAATGGGAAATGACAGGCCTCAAAATTCTGAGCACTGGCTGACAAGCTGGAGAACCACAGTTCTCAGAGTATGGGAGGTCAGCATCTTTCCGGATGAACAAGCATGAGGCCTTTGCTGACTCTTGGGCCAACAGTGGGCCAACAGTGGGTGCTCTCTCTCATCCCATCTCTTCCAAACAATCCCCCAGTGGCCCCTGTACTTCAGTTTATGGACAAAATATGACAGCTGGGACAAATGGGGAAAGTTTAGTTGTTGCAAGGCGTCTTGCAACCCAATGTGAACAGAAACTAGCAGTGTAGTGAAACGTTTTATAGTACAACCACTCACCGTCACTGTCTTTGTAGCTGCCTCTCTACAATGACTCTAGCTGGAAGTTGTGTTTCTATCAATCATATCAGTGAATCAATTTGAGTGGTTTTCAGCTCTTCCAGGAACAGGTTTTTGGGAAAGCCAAAATAGCAAAATCAGGGTTTGCCTTTTGGAGTTTATATATTTTTAAAAATATTTTCAAGCCATGAATGGTTGAATCAGTGGATAAGGAATCTGTGGATACAGAGGGGCCAACGGTACAAGGTACTTTATTACCATCACAGACCAGAAACAAGCCAAATGGCTGCAAAATTTTATACATACATATTGAGATGGATGTCCTGTTAGTTCAATGGGACTTGTTAGAATATGGATGGCTTCTAGTATGTTTATACTGCTTTTATAATGTAACTCCTGGATCTGGAAACATAGATCTTTAACTTCTTTTTAACTTTAAACTGCAACAAGTTGGGATCCTATGCTTTTGGGATTGTTAAAGATATAACCTCTCATGGCTGAACTGGATTAGTTCATCACAATGGATTTTACTTAGCTATTTTATTTTTCTTTTATATGCATTAATAAACTATGCTTTTGGACTTTACAATGTGTCTTATTGACTGAGGAAGACAGGATCCTGAAGAAGGAAAGCTGAGCCAGTTGATGGTAAGAGTTACAAAGTGGCTGTGGATCACAGCAGCCAGCTTGTCCTGGAGATTCTGCTGGGTGGCAAAGAGCATCACTGCAACACCCATCATCCACACACTGACAAATGTTTTGGGCCCAGCACGCTTCTGCCGCACCAGGACAAGAGAGCCATGCTTCAGCATTTGCTGGGAAAAGCAGAGGTGGCTTCAAATCTTCTTAAGATGTAAGTAACAGTTATGTTTACTGCTAAGCTGTTTTTGCCTGATGGTAGAGTGCAGAACTCTTTAAAGATGGTTGTCTGAGAAATCTCCACTCTACAAACAGTAAGAAGCAGGGGAACACAGCCTGGACAGGCTGGGAAAATGCTGTAAAATGCAGTGGATTCTGCAAAGCTGAAAACAGACTCTGTTAAGGGCCATTTTGTTTAAAATGGATGCAGCTGGATTACCAAGGCTCAGGGACTTGAGTCACAAATGCATGTTGCAATGCATGGAGTTCTAATGCAGCAGGGATTGCTGGAAGCAGATGCCTAAGCCAAAAAGAAATCATTCTTTTAACGAGTCACAATTGAATTTTGGGAGAGGATGTTCTTCAGTCAAAGGTTTTTGGGAAACTGAAGAGAATTCATCATTCCTGCACAGCTTTATCATAAATGCTGTGGTCAAAGGACTTTACAGTTCTTGGGGAAAAATACAAAAATCTCTGGTAAGGGTAAAGTTTTTACACAGTGGTCTAATGCTGTAGGGGCTGCAGCAGTTTTTCTGGATGCCAAAAAGTTCCAGAGGCTGGAACGTGATGAGCCAAGCAGTTTGCTTGAAGAAAAGCCAGAAATTTCGGCTTGTGGTACCTAGGACAGCACCTGAAGTTTTCAAGGCAAATGTGTTTGGAAAGGCAACTGATGCAAGGGTGAAAAACCAATGCTTTTACTGTGGCAGAGCAGGATATTTGAAAACAGCAATGCAAGGAAGTTTGCAACAAACAACAATCAACAACCCAGAGACTTTGGGAAAAAACAAAGGAACTGCAGTTGTTACACAGAGCTGTGACAGTGTAACTCAAACAAGTGATGAAAACCTGAGGACAAAATAGATTCTGTATTCTGGGACAACCAGGCATATGATAAATAATGCAGATTTGCTGAAAAGTAAGAAATCCTCCAGTATCAAAGATGTTGATCTAGCTGATGGAGGGGTAAAAGATGTCAAAGAAATTGAGAAATGTCTACATGCCAAGTTTTGGTGAGAAAACTTTGAAAATGTTTTATGTGTACCTGATTTACAAAACTGTTTAGTTAGTGTGTCAGGGGATATACACTGAGTTTTATGGGAGAGAAATGTGAAGTTACCTTGAATGGGAAGGTGTGTACAAAAGCTATAAAAAGGGAGAATATGTATTTTATACAAAGTGAAAACAATTGCTAAATGTGCAGGTGTGAAGAAAAATGAATAATCACATTCTGGTTATGCACACCAATAATATGGAATCCTAAGGAACATAGGATTTGATAGCTTGTTTAAGCTGGTGGGATGTAGGTCCTAAATTTGAAAATGTCTCATTGTACAAATGATTTGGGAGGTACTTGGTTTACAACAAAGTAAAGTCAAGTTTTTTCCTGTGACAGAACCGGAGCAAGAGAATTGCTAAAATGACCTGTTGAGGTTGGTCCATGCTGTTAAGCAAAGAGACAAATGTATGTTTACACAAAAAGGAGATGACATTTTTGATTATTTAGATTCAAGAGATTCAGACAAAAAAGGAGAAATTGTCTAGAGAGATTTGTTGTTAAAGGTTTTGATTTTTTGAGATCTTATTTTAAAGTTGCTGGACTGCTGATAAAAAAATGTTTATTGAGTCAACAAAAAAAGATTAATAACAGTGTGGTTTACAAAGTGCAAAGGTGGTGACAGGTTTAAAGTCAATTGGTTTTGTTTAAAATAAAATAACAAGGGGTTTTAAATATCCAGATATATAAAACAAACTTTGTGAAAAGTTTGGTGTTTATAGTTAACAATGATAGATTAGACATTGTGTTTGCAATAGGAGTTTTAATAAGAGATTAAAATTGTTTTAAGGTAAAAGATTAGACAACAATAAAACATTAGATAAGTTTTTTTTTGAAAGGAGAAAGGGGCTTGTGATTTAAAAACAGCCACATTGGGATAGAGTGTTTTGTAAATAGTTCATTTGCTTCAAAGTTATATGATAGATAGTCAATTTAAGGATTGTTGATCAAGTATGGAGAAAGCTCAATAGTTTTGGTGGATTAAAAAAATAAAGATATATAGCTTTAAGCGCTGATAAAATAGAACAAAATATATAGCATTAAATAAGATAGAATGGATAAAATAATTGTTATAAAATTTACATTGTGAATTGTCAGTTATGATATATAAAAATTCACAGACATGCATTTTCATGACAAAAGCAGAAAAGTTAAAGTTAAACATACGTTGGAGTTAGATAACTAAATGCCAGGGAACTAGTTTAAAATGAAATTGTGTGGCTACAATATAAAATCGAAACACAACACTACAGATGTGTTAACAAATGTTCTAGAGATAGAACAACATTAACAATTGTTATAACAGATTGAGATGTCACTTTAAATATACAGGACTAGCCATTGTGCTAAGATAGTTTCAACACCAAAAAATAAAATAAAATAAAAAATAGTGGTCTCACATATCTATACATTTCAGGAGGGGATTGTTAGAATATGGATGGGTTATACAGTCAAAGGTGAAATGTAGAGATGTGTGTGTGGAATTTTTCTCATGAGAACAACATGTAGAGAAACAAAGTGAATCTAACACCAGATGGCCAAGAAGTCATAAACATGAACTTTCCCAAAGGTACAACTCATGGACACAGATTTTGTTATGAGAAAAGCCTTGATAACAATACATAAACATCATTAGGTCTTGAGAAAATAGTCACGTGGTGGATGATGGACAGCAAGAGGCTGGGTTAATATACATCATACAGGCATTATCCAACCATCATAAGGTTAACACCTAGAAGGTGGAGTATGGGAAGGGCCTAGAAAATCCTTTGTTTAAGAATGTTTATAATTCAAGATGTGAGTGTGTGACTATCTGGCAGTGGTTCTTAACCATGGAGCTAGGTGTTAGCTTGTAGTTTTTGAGTATGTTTATACTGCTTTTATAATATAACTCCTGGATCTGGAAACATGGATCTGTAACTTCTTTTTAACTTTCAACTGCAACAAGTTGGGATCCTATGCTTTTGGGATTGTTAAAGATGTAACCTCTCATGGCTGAACTGGATTAGTTCATCACAATGGATATTACTTAGCTATTTTATTTTTCTTTTATATGCATTAATAAACTATGCTTTTGGACTTTACAATGTGTCTTCTTGACTGAGGAAGACCGGATCCTGAAGAAGGGCAGCTGAGCCAGTTGATGGTAAGAGTTACAAAGTGGC